ACAGTAGTCTCCCCTTACCTGTGGTTTTGCTTTCTGCAATGTCACTTATCCACAGTCAACTGTGGCCTGGAAGTAGATGATCTTCCTGACAGATCATGAGGTCGGTAATAGCCTTAATGGCACAACACAATGCCTACATCATTCACTTCACTTCATCCCATCCCGTAGGCGTTTTATCATCTCACATCATCACAAAATAAGGGTGAGTACAGTACAATTAGATATTTTAAGAGAGAAGCCACATTCACATAACTTTATTATACTATAAAGTTAATAAATTAATAAATTTTGAATAGAATTCTGCCAGCATTTCAAAATTAATAGATACCTAATGAAACTTCAGATTCCTTTGTTTCTTATAGATATCAGGATAGTTTGCCATATTGCCCATGATGAAAATCAGCTGCAGTGGAATAGAAGGTGTCTTTAGATGGAGTGTTTGCTTGGCAATTTACTACAGTTCCCACCACACCTTGTTTCAAATCCAATCTTCTTAGTCATTGATTTTGCTTGTGTGGATCTTGAGTCCTTACACCCTCAGTTTAGGGGTCTTTTAATCACTCTTGTGATATGTACACATCTGGGAGAAATTGTGATTTGCTTGCATTAGAGATTTGGGGAACAAAACATCTTGGAGAGCTAGACAAAAGGGCTCAAAAGGGATAGTGTAGAAGTTAGCATTTTGGGACAAATGTTTTTGGTTTTCTACTTATTTATTTTTCATAACAATACCATAAGGGGAATATTATCCCCATTTTGTAGGTACAGAAACTGACTTTTGAGGTAAAGGGTTACTTAAATTTACAGAGCTAGAAGATGACAATCAGAATTCATACATAGGTCTGTCTTATTCCCAAATCATGCTTTTCTCAAATCACTAGGAATAAGTGTTATAATTGGCATTTGTTCTAAATACTCAGCTGTGTACTTACAGGATTAGGGAAATCTTAGTTTGGTAAAAATACTTGTGATAAACACTTATGGGGTTATAAAAAATTAAGCTTAGTGCATTAACTCATATGGGTAATTTCTACCAAAAAAATCACTATCTTCTTATTGGTGTGCATTAGTTGATGAACTATATTCATTGTGATAAAATAAGTATATTGTTTCATGTGTAAACCATTTGGATTACTGATCTCTGCAGTTTAAGTAGTATATGGACAAAGAAGAGCTTGTTCAAGAAGTGATGCAGATGGTGGAAATACTCAGGATCAAGGCATGTGAGAAATTGCTGGAAGAATGGGACAAGGTATTAGTTAAGACTCTTAGTTTCAAGTGACTAAACTCAACCTAAATTAGCTTAGGCAAAAATGAAAATTTATTGACACATAGCTGAAAAGTCCAGGGTGTAACTGGATGTAGGAGCTCAAATAATTTCACTAGATGTGGTTAATGGTAAGAAGCTTGTATGGACAACAGCAAGATCACCCTGTATCTTGAATATGTCTATTTATGGAGAGAATATGTATCTCAATATTGAAAGGGATTTTAAAGTTATATTTTAACCACGTACCCAAAGATCATACTGCTGGAGAAAATACTCCAAGGACTTTCCACGCCTCTTAGAATAAAATCCAAATTTCTTATTATGGCCTGAGGAATTGCATCCACTCTCAAGGAATGAGATCTTTCTCCTTCAGCTCAAGCACAATCCCTCCTCCTGTCTTCTGGACCTTAATTCCTTGTGTCTTCTCCAAGATCGTGGTTTATAAATAGTTCTGCAGCTTCAACCTCATTCTCTTTAATGGCTTTTTCCCTTTATCTTATAAATGTGTCTTTTCTGCTAAAGGCAAACAAGACAAAATCAAAGCAAATCAATCAGCCAACCAAATGACAATGAGAACAACAGTAACAACAAATAAATACCCTACTTTGACTCTGACTTTCTCTGAAACTCTGGAAAAGCTTTAGCATCATAGAATATGATGCTTTGCTAGCTTGGGGTTATTTAACACATAATTTCTAATCTGTTGGTCCTACTCAGCTATGCAGAAGTACTGTTCTAGAGTAAGGTGCAAACACAGAAGAGTGGTTTCCTTATAGTGAGAAAATTAGTGAAAATCATTTGTTCGTATGAGGAAGAGAATATTTGAGAGAGTCAAGTAAGTGGATGTTGAAATTATTTTTATAAGTGTTATTTAATGAGTGAAATGATTAATCTAGAATATTTAGATGATGGCAGATTATAACTTTGAATATAAATACATAGGAATGAACAAGGATGTGTCATCAGGTTAGATTACCCACATAGAACAAAATATCAAATGATGAAGATTAGAATTAAGACCCTGACCTTTCAGAGGGTCTCAAATCTTGTGTAGAAAACCTTTTATGTTCACACTTAGGGAAACGGGGGAATTGGTTTCAGTCTTCCCAGGTGGTTTGGTATTCAAGATTCCTTCAAGATTCCTTCTTAGCAGTTGCTGCTTAGTGTGATCTTGTTGTGATAAGAGATGAGTAAAGAAAGTGCTAAACGAGACCAGAGAAACTGCTTTTATACTCTAGAATTTCCTTCATGCCCTAGATGTCACAATGTGGTCTGTCTTTTGATAAAAAAAAAATCATAAATTACTTAGGAAATAACTTCATTTTAAAGACCCTATTAATTCCATCCCAAGACATTTTCTTGTTGTTACCAGTGAGTGTACACGGAAAAACTGTATCCTACATTTATTCAGAGTTGTTTCAAGGTCATTCAAATAATTTCGATTTCTCAAATTCAAGAAAGCTTTTAAAATGTTCTAAGAAGTTTCTTTTTTCAAATTTTATTTTATTTCTAGTGTAGATAGCATACAGTGTTTTTAGTTTCAGTTGCACAACATAGTGATTCAACAATTCTATACATGATTCAGTGCTCATCATGAGAAGTGTACTCTTAATCCCCTTCACTTTTTTTTTTTTTTTAACCTATATCTCCACTTGCCTTCCCTCTGGTGACCATCAATTTATTGTCTATAGTTATGAGTCTGGGTTTTCTGGTTTTGGTTTTGGGTTTTTTGGGGGGGTTATCATTTTTTTCAAGCTTTAAAAAAATTCTAGCTAGAAAAATGTTCTAATAAATTTCTAGTATTAAATCAGTAAAATGAATGCACTGAGAACTCCCCTCAAGTTTTTTCCTCAGTTTGAAAATTGACCCTGGCTAGGAGGTTTGCCTGATGTTGAAGGTTATGTATTTTAGAGTATAAGTATTGTTGACATTTATATTCCTTCCATTTATACACAGTTTATAATTTTGAATATGTAAGATTTAGACCTCTGTTGTCAGGGAGGCTTCCTTTCTCC